ACCCTCCGATTTACCGCATCTTTAACCGTTTAGGAGCTAGAGGTAGATATTTTGAAAACAATTGCAAAAAGTCAAGTTTTAAGACTGTTTGGCAAACTATATACAATCTACAATCTGCGCCTGTTTTATTTTTTTAATTCTTAAGCAAAGCAGAAGGGTGGGGTGAAGTCACGGTGTTGCCCCGTTACAGTCTTTTGTCATGTCCAAGGAGCAAATTTCTAGGGCCGCAGGCCCCCCACCGGACGCGTTAGTTTACTCAATTAATGCTAAGTGATTTACGGGTCACATTATTTATTTGATTATGCACTTTGGTAAATCGAGAGACTGAAATGGTCGGGCCGAAGGCCCGACCATCGCCGCCGGCAGGCCAAGCATTAGGGTTGCCCATAAAAACGCATTTTTTGATTTTTGAGTGGGCATGTTGGCCAGAGGGTGCAATTTGGTGTATAGATACACCATGATTTTTATTATGAAAATGGAACAATATTTGACCCTGCCGAAACGAGCTCAAACTTAAACATTACTTTCTTATGGGGCATTGTACTAAAAACAACAATTTGGGCCTGGAGCTCAAAATATTACCTGTAGTTGAAAAGTGTTGTAAAAATCGTGATCTACGCGAAAAACCGAGTCTGACGACATGCCACTTCCCAGTATCCGCCATCGCATTTCGTAGAAGTTATTCGTGAAATAATCACTTTTTTTGCTATTTTTTCCTCAAAAAGCGATTATTTCACTAATAATTTCTACGAAATGCGATGGTGGATACTGGCAAATAAGGGCAACCCTAGCCAAGCATGCCCGGCCCCTGCCGAACGGAGTTGCCGGCGCAGCGAAGTGGAGATGGCAACTCCGTTTGGCGGAAGGGCGGGCCTGCTTGTTTAACTAATTTACATTACTTTTTTTATAGTTTGTGGATGAGGTTGCTGTGCCCACTACCGCTGGTCAGGGCAGCGAGGAGGTACGCCACTTCGATCCCCCCGCTCCCGCCAAGGACGGCCCTGCCCACCAACCAAAACGAGTCGTAAGTTTTACTTTTTTGTAGCATTCACCGTTAACAGCTGACTTTGCGTTTAA